GGAAAAGAACAGGCGAGGGCGAGGCAGGGAGCGGGATCGGCCCGCGCAGGCCTGGCTGGTCAGCGACGGGCAGAGCAGGCCGCGCGGGCGGGCGGCGAATGGGCCGGGGTGCTGGAGCGGGAAGCCGGACATCTGGGGGCGTCTGCGGCTTGGGGCCAGAGCCCGCGGGGACTTGCGGGCGGAGGGGCACAGGCCGCCGCGTGGAGGCCCGGCCGGCTGCAGGTCTAGGTGACCTTCCCCAGCGGCGCCCTCTGGCCCGCGATGCCGACAGCGCGGGTCCGCCCGGGAGCTACCCGCCATCCATGCTTGCCGGGCTGGGCCCACGGACCTGTGCAGGCCACGCCGTCACTGCGGGACGACCGTGACGACCGTGGCCGGGCGCCCCCAGTCCCTCACGTCCTGTCCGGCCTGCCGGGTCCACGCCCGGAGAAGCTGGCGCACGGCCCTGTCCGCGCATGCCAGCGCCTTCGGGGCGGAACTGGAGGCGGAGAATCGACTTAGGCCGCAGTGTCCGGAGCTGGGGCCTGGGCTGCTTGGGCAGGTTAGGTCTAGGAAAAGGAGGTCCTGCAGAGCGATGGGGCCCCTTGGCCTAATCAGGGATTCCTGGTTCCGTCCCTCATTCATTACCCAAATGTAGCGGTGCATTCTGGAAACTGGTTCAGAGCTATGGTTTTGAGGCCCGTATCCTTAGGGGCTTGTTCAAGGTCAGACACCCCGAAGGACCGCACCTCAGTTTCCCCATCTATAGGATGGGAGCACTTATACCTCTTCGTTGGGATTTTGGGAAGAATAAAATGAGTTGATGAACGTGAAGTCTTCAGAACAGTGCCTGGCAGGGAGAAAGCCTGACACTTACCCTTGAGGCTTTTTTGGGAGGATCTGGCTCATCCCCTGCAGACCCCGTTTACTCCACGTGGTGTTCTGGAAAGGGTTAAATAAACATAGTCCCTGTTATTTTGAACATTAGGTATTATTAAGCATTTGTGTTTTAGGCATCAAGTAACTTTTAGGATAGTTCATGAAAATCCTTTAAGTTTACAGACGGGGTCAGGCTGGAGCAGGAAGTTGAACGTGGATGCAGACCTAGGCCTGTCCCACCTGAGGCCCCTATCCCCTTGTCCACCTTCTCCGGGGAAGATAGAGAAATGAGCTCCTTTGCTTAATATGCTGTTGGCAAGGCCAGGGCAGACTGCCCAGGGCCTGACTTTCTGTCCACCCCAGCTCTGGACTGAGTTCCTACACCGTCAGGCTTAAGCCCTGTGCAGCTTTGTTTTCAGTGCCTGTGGTGGTGCCATCTGGCATACAGTAGGTACTTGAGAAGGGTCCGTGGGGGTAACTGCACTGTAGCTTTTTATGTAAGAGTCGCCTCACCCTTATTGACAGGATGGTTTTTTACTGTTCTGGCATGTGGCTTATAGTAGGTGCTCATTAAGTATTCGTGGAATTACTGAATGGGCATGTGTAGTGACTGCATGCCCAGACCACAGTCCCTTGATCCTGGACATCCTTTTTGAGGGATACACATCTCACTCATTTCCAGAAACTAGCCTTGCCTAGCAGAGTCACACATATTTAAAGAACTGCAACGGTACGTATAACCCTAGAGCAGTGAGAAACAAAACTGTTCCCTAATTTGAAATAACTGCGTTAAACACGTTATCTTCATTGTGTAACTTTCCAAATCCTGTGGGAAACTTGTTAAACTAGTGTTTCTGGGCTTGCAGGGGAGGGTGACATGGGCAACTGGGATTCTTCTAAAGGCCTTGGACTTGGTGCCTTTTCTCTCCTTAATGGTGGGTGGGCCAATGGCTTCTGTTGGAGGTGACCCAACTAAAGTGCTTGACCTTGGGGAGGGAGGCTGCTGTCAGTTGATTACTTAATTTTATTTCTGCTATTCTGTAGGGCTGTTTGTTGACACAGCACAGGGGCTCAGGGGGACCATATAGTGAGGAATTGTCTGTGGGCCTCTGGTCCTGCTGGGCACTAGGCAGATGTGGACAACAACCTCTGGGCTGGTGGCAACAAGACACATTCACCCCCACCTTTACCGGTAAGATGCTCCCAAGGTGCCAAAGTCCATTCTGCCCTTGTTGGCATTTCTCACGGTGTGACTTCTTTGGTGGAAGTGACTGAGAGAGGTATGTGTGTGGCTGAGAGCCAGCCAAGCCTGCGGGCAGCCCCTCAGTGGTCAGAGGGTCTGTGGCCTCAGGCTCCCCACAGACTCTTCTGGTGGCCATTGAAGAAAGGCGAGCGGTGGGATCCTCAGCTGGGCCTGGGCACAGTGCTCCATTTTCCAGCTTGCTCTCAGGGGGCTGAGGGTGAGTGGGAATCTAAGCCTTTACCCAGAACTGTGCTGGAAAGAGTCCTGGAGAGCAGACTGAGCTCACCACACGGCTCTGGCATGAGCCATAGGGTCTAGTACAGATCAAGTCACTCTCCTGTCCCTCAGTTTCTCCAGTATACAAGTGTGATCATCATCATCACTGTCACTGTTTATTGAGGGCCTGGTATACAAGTGTGATCATCATCATCATCACTGTCACTGTTTATTGAGGGCCTGCTCAGCACTTTTTGGGGGGCTCGACTTAACGCTCTGTGACATTGAATTCACCATCTTACAAGCCTTGGGGGAAAGGTACTGTTTCCATTTTGTAGGTCAGGAGGCCTGAGCACAGAGAGGTGAGGTAACTATCTAAGGTCACACAGCTCAGCAGCAGTGGAGCTGGAATTCAGGGCGTGGTCTGGCTAGTTCCAGGGCTGGTGTGTCACACTGCACTTGTCGCTCCAGGGGGCCACTGCGAGGAGCTAACAGAAGTGAATGCCCCTTTAAAAG